GTTGAGTGTGTCGGCAAGACGATCTACCAGGGCTTCGTAGAGCTGTTCAACACAATGGCCCCAACCCAGAAGCTGGATCGTGCGCACAAGAAGTGGCCGCTGGACAGTGACGGCCCCAAGCCAGGATTGAAGAGTCTTGGCCGGATGATCTCAAGGACCCTCTGCGAGCCCAAGCCGTCATCGTGGCAAAAAACACCTGGAAAGTCGCCTGTGAGAAGCACCACTTAGGCCCGGGGTTGTGTGAAGCTTGAAGCGTTCGTCAGTCTACTTAAACCGGATCGCAAACTCCCTGCCCCAAGCCTTAGCCTTTAACCACTCTTTGGACAGGTGGTGTGAGGTTGACGCTGAGCGGCACTCGAGAGGTGATTGCTGTGAAAGAGAAGGGCCTGGCAACTACGATGGAGGCAAAGGACATGAAGCAAGCCAGGGAGATCATGACGGGAATGGACAAAGCGGCCCTGAGCAGGATGGCTGGGGATGGCTACGATGTCTATGCTTGCAAGTCCCCCAAGGCGGGATGGGTGCCTTAGTATTTGTGCTAGATGCGAGGACCTGCTAGGAATTCAGACGGATGTCGATTCCAGCCCGCGTGAGACTCACGATATCTTCGTTGATCCCCAGGGCACCGCCCTCTACATGCCGGCTGGGTGGCTCTTTGCGGAGAGAGTGGTTGGCTCCACTGCTTGGATTGGCATCAGGGCTGGAGCAGTATGCATCTCGCTGAAAAACCTTTGTGACATGAATTGGCTACAGCGAACTTGGTGCAGGGATGATGAGGTTTGCAAGCTGGCGACGGCAGCCCTGCAGGCCAGCTTGGAAGCCAAGTCCGGCAGTGCGGGCGACCAAAAGGCCAAGGAGCAGAAGGACGAGATGGAGGCAAAGGAGGCAAAGGAGGCGGAGGAAAAGAAGCGACAGGAAGCGGAGGCCAAGGAGGCGGAGGAAAAGAAACGACAGGAAGCGGAGGCCAAGGAGGCGGAGGAAAAGAAACGACAGGAAGCGGAGGCCAAGGCGGCCAACGAGGCCAAGGAGGCGGAAGAAAAGAAGCGACAGGAAGCGGAGGCCAAGGAGGCGGAGGAAAAGAAGCGACAGGAAGCGGAGGCCAAGGCGGCCAACGAGGCCAAGGAGGCGGAGGAAAGGAAGCGACAGGAAGCGGAGGCCAAGGCGGCGGAAGAAAAGAAACGACAGGAAGCGGAGGCCAAGGAGGCGGAGGAAAAGAAGCGACAGGAAGCGGAGGCCAAGGCGACAGAGGAAAAGAAGCGACAGGAAGCGGAGGCCAAGGCGGTCAAGGAGGCGGAGGAAAAGAAGCAACAGGAAGCGGAGGCCAAGGCGGTCAAGGAGGCGGAGGAAAAGAAGCGACAGGAAGCGGAGGCCAAGGCGACAGAGGATAAGAAGCGACAGGAAGCGGAGGCCAAGGCGGCCAACGAGGCCAACCCTCACTGGCTTCAAGACAGCGGGCTACCGGCTTGTGCGTGGCAAGGAGTGGGGGTTT